AATTGGGATGAGGTGCAGGAGAGGGAGCTGTGTCACCCCATGCCTCAGCATCCCTAACCCCGCTACAGCTGGATGTCAATGATTTTCACCCAGCATCTAAGGAGTCTGCGGACATTTAAGTGTTTAATTTAAAGACCTCCAGCAGACAAGCACCCTTTCCATCCCAAACTACACCTTCCAGGTGTGTTTTGGAGAGGGATTGAGCAGGTGGGCTTGAACACATAGCAGAGATGGGGCACTTCTATTAATTTTGCAGGTTTTTATGCTCTGACAAGATGTGTTCCGTGGCTACAGTGGCTGTGTCAGCCTCATGGGAGCGCGATGAGCCAGGGGACACAGGGGTGGTCTCAGCACGTCAGTCATGCTGGGGGTTGGAGCAGGGGTTGGTCTCTGCCTGTGACAGTCATGCAGGTGTGTGTGACAGCAGCGCTGCCTCCGAGTCTCAGTCACGCTGGGAGAGTGACAAGGCTGGTCCCTGCCAGTGTCAGCCAGGCTGGGCGTGTGACAGGGGCGATCCCTGCTGGTGTCAGTCACACTGGGGGTGTGACAGGGGCGATCCCTGCTGGTGTCAGTCACACTGAGGGTGTGACAGGGGCAGTCCCTGCTGGTGTCAGTCACACTGGGGGGGTGATGGGGTGGTCGCTGCCTGTGTCAGTCACGATCTCTGACGGTGTCAGTCACACTGTGGGGGGTGATGGGACGGTCCCTGCCCGTGTCAGTCACTTTAGGGGTGTGATGTGGGCAGGGTTACTCGCGCTGGGGGTGTGACAGAGGCGGTCCCTGCTGGTGTCAGTCACACTGGGGGTGTGGCAGGGGCGGTCCCCATCTGTGTCAGTCACACTGGAGGTGTGACAGGGAAGGTCCCTGGTGGTGTCAGTCACACTGGAGGTGTGACAGGGAAGGTCCCTGGTGGTGTCAGTCACATTGGAGGTGTGAGAGGGGAGGTCCCTGGTGGTGTCAGTCACACTGGAGATGTGACAAGGGAGGTCCCAGACTGTGTCAGTCACAATGGTGGGGTGACAGGGGCCAGCCCCCAACTGTGTCAGTGATGCCGGGGATGCACCGGGGATGGTCTCCGGGAACGGCAGTCCCGTGAGAGTGTGAAAAGAGGCTGTGTCAGTCACGGGGGTGTGAGGGACCGGTCAAGGGGGTGTGACAGGGGCTGATCCCTGGCTGTGTCTGTCACAGGGGGTGTGACAGGGGCTGATCCCTGGCTGTGTCTGTCACAGGGGGTGTGACAGGGGCTGATCCCTGGCTGTGTCTGTCACAGGGAGGGTGTGACAGGGGCTGATCCCAGCCCTTGGTGACGCCAATACTGCGAGACAGCTCTGGGAGGAGCGAAGGGCGAAGGTGGGACAGGTTGGGATGTTTTGAGGTGGTCCCAGTGCAGTCAGAGCTGCTCGTTTTGCTTCCTTTTTAATCGCAGAATGGTTCACGTTGGAAGGGACCACGGTTGGTCATCTGGTCCCGCCTCCCCGGTTGTGAAAACGAAGAACTCACCGAGAGTTTATATTTTCCTGGGGCATCGCTAAAAACTTACTATTTACGTTTAATCGGGTGCTGCGTTAAAAAATCCTTTGTGCTGAATAGATTATCAAACGGATTATCAAATGCTTTTCTGAGCCCACCTAGAAATCCAGGAGTTACAACAAAAACCAGTGGGTACAGAGAACTGCTCAGCAGGTGAAGATTTCCCCTTTAATTCTTTAACAAGCTCACCTGTGCATTTTCAAAACAGAGTGTGGCCATTCTTGCACAATCACCTTCTGCCCCGCACCAGGAGTTACTGCCCTGCAGGCTCCTTTAGAGTCTTGTATCTCCAGCCCTTGAACTGAGCTGTCAGAGTTGAGCTGACAGAATCAGACAGTGATTTTTTTTTTTTGCATAGAAATTTGCTGAGAGTCTGCATCAATATGTGCCAGGAAAATGCAAGTTTGGGAAACTAAAGCATGACCGGCCTGCTTTTTACAGTCCTTGTGTAGTTTTTTTCCTGTTAGTTGTTCCATGGTCTTTAGAGCTTGACTCCAGGTTTTGTAACTGTAGTTAGAACTTGTTTTCTCAATCTTTCTTCCAAAAGCCTCACTCCTGAGGTGCCCACTGACTGAGACCCAGAGATGTAGAAGATCCTGGCAAGCACCACAGGAAGAAGCATGTTAGGATAACCAGGGTGGAGCTGGCTAGGATAGCAAAACGATTCCTTGCTCCAGGTGATTTTAGAGAGCGCAGCATTGGAGATCCTGAACTTTCTTTTAACGGCACTCCTAGGGTTCTGTGCTGGTATTCTTTCGAAATTCAGAGTCTCTAACAGCTATTGCAAGTCTATCACCAGAGTTCAGTGGGCTAAAGGCAGCCCAGCTTTCCCCTGGGGAGTTAAAATCTCAGCCTTCAGCCAAATATCACTTAAGTCTCTCTGAATTCAGCTCCTACTTAGTGTTTTTTTTTTGGTTGTTCTATGTAAAAGAGTCTGAAGCTCTCAGGTGTTTTAAAGTGCTTATGACAGTCCTAAAACAAAGTAGCCAGATGTCAGAAAACTCTATGGCCAATAAAAAATTCAAATTTGATGGGTTGGGATGTTAAACCCTGCATAAAATATATTACACTCCCATTGTGACAGCAAGCAAGTTTGCATGTTTTAGTGAATTTAATGGGGAAAAAAATTTAAGAAATTACTCCAAAGTAGATCTAGCTGACAAATTGATTACAGGTCCTCGTCTGTCCTGACAGACTCTTCAAAACACATGACAGTGAGGTGGCATAAATAAAAAGGATTTGGCATCCATATATGTGCACTGGGAATATAAATCTAGGACAGGCACAAAGCACCAATAATGCAATTTTAGTAGGAATCATATATTGTAATAAAATGGGTGATTCTCTTATTTTTCTGCCTTCTCCTTGAGGATTACAGCTGATTTTTGTGTGTGTGTGTGTGCTGGAATAACTCATCTAGACTGATGGGAAAGTCTTAGAATTTAACAAAAACATGTGCTTGCAGAGGCAACATATGAAAGGGAAGGCAGAGTACATTTAAATACCCTAATACCAGGAGGAAAAATTAAAATATGTGGAACTGGATAGAGCTGAGTATGTTTGTCTGAGGACCAGTATAATAAGATCTCTGAATTCTGTTTGTCATTTTAGGTTAATGGGGAAACATTAGCAGAGAGGCCTGTTCTTTGTTACCGAAAGTCAGAGGCGAGGTTTGGGACTGTGCTCATGAATTTGATGAGTGTGTTGACACTTTTGTCAGCCTGAGTGTTGGGGTGTGTACGTGCTGGTTTTATTACCTTGCCACAGAAGCCCTTTTCTGTCTCATCTCAGATCAACAACAGGAGACACGATGCACTGACTGGCACTGCCCTGGTTCTTTGATCTAACCCATGAGACATCATTTGGAGTGTTCTGCATTATTTATCACTACTGAAGTATTTTCAATTAAACTGACAGATTAAATACTAACTTTGCCTGGCAGATAATGAAATTCTTGTTTCTTTTCCAAGGAAGCTGACATGAAAGAAGCCAGACATGAGAGGGCATGGGAATTTGTACTGCTTGTCTCCACATTTACAAACAAATAAGCACTGTATGATACCACAAAGAGGAGGCAGGCTTAGTTTCTGGTGCTGACAGTTGTCACACAGGTGAGGAACGCTCAGGTGATTCCAGAGAAGCCTCACAAAGGTTGGACAGCTGGACATGGAGGAAGATTACTCACTGCCTTCCAGTCCTGCTAAACCTTCAGTGCAATAAGAAATCCTTGGTAGTTGTAATAAACCACAGTTTGGATTTTTAAAAATTGGCCATTCATCATCTGTGCCCCACACAAACATGCTTGGCTGTGGATATTGGTGCATGTCCTTATATATTCCTGGAGTTCATCACAGGGATGGAGCACCTCTGCTATGAGAAAAGGCTGAGAGAACTGGGATTCATCAACCTGGAAAATATAAGGTTTTGGCATGACCTAACTGTAGCCTTCCAGTACCTGAAGAGAACTTATGGGAAAGATAGAACAAGACTATTTACGAGAGCATGTTAACAACAGGACAAAGGGAAATGGCTTCAGACTGAAAGAGAGTAGGTTTAGATTAGATATTAGCAAACAATTCTTTACTGTGGGGGTGGCCAGGCCCCGGCACAGGTTGCCCAGAGAAGCTGTGGCTGCCCCATCCCTGGAGGTGTTCAAGGCCAGGTTGGAGCTCGATCTAGCGGAAGATGTCCCTGCCTATAGCAGGGGTTTGGAAGGAGATGATCTTCAAGGAACCATTCCATGATTCTACGAACAGGCTCCCGGAGCACCCGGGGGGTTCCCAGAACCGCTCCGCCGGGGCGGCCGGGAAGGAATCGCGGTCGCAGGATTTGAACGGGGCGGCGGAGCTGAGCCGGGAGCGAGGGCTGTCGCTGTCGTTGTCGCCGGGGAGGGGCCGCGCTGTCCGCCCGGTCCCGCCCCGCCGCTGCCAGCCGCGGCCCGCTGCGGGCACGGCCGAGCCGCGCTGCGCCGGGGACCGCCCGGCGCGGGGGATGCGCGGGGGATGCGCGGGGGATGCGCGGGGACCGGGAGCCCCCCAGGTAGGGCGGGGGGGAACGGGGCGTCGGAGCGGGCAAAAGTTGGGAGTTCGTGCTGCCGGGAAACAATAAATCCCTTTGTTTTTATACGTACATTTATTTTTATTTTTCAGCCTACGTCGCGGTTTGAACATCCCCCTCCCCGCGCCGCAGGGACCGCACGGCCGTGGTTATGGAGTTCTCTTAAGCCACGCAGCGCCAGCATCCCTTGGAAAGTTTTCCTTCCCCAAAGGCAGCAGCAGGTCAGTTAGAGGGCTGGAGGTGAGGAATACTCCTGTTACCCAGCTCCTGATTAAATTAAAGGAAATGTCCGAAGTTGGGGGTGAGTCGAGCCACGCTGTTCCAGGCAGTGACTAACGAGGACTAATCCGGATTGTTTTCTGTATCACAGCAGAAGAAAGCGCGGCTTGTGTGGCTGATGAAGCCGGCCTTTCTGAGATGTGAATAAGACCTTTCTCTGGATGCACATCGCTCTACTGCCCTGGTAACTGCCCTTGGTAAGCCTACTGAAAGTAAATAGGCAAGTTTTATGTTTATATATGCGTGCAAATACTGAAATGTGTATGGTTTTATATATGTGTGTTCTTACCTATATATGGTTGTATTCGGAGATGTCTTACCCGACCTTCCAGCACTTTGAAGGGGGTTTATGGAAAAGAGGGAGAGCAACTTTTTACACGGGCAGATAGTGACAGGGCAAGGGGGAATGTTTTCAAACTAAAAGAGGAGAGATTTAGATTAGATGTTAGAAAGAAATTCTTCCCTATGCTGCAGGTGGTGAGGCCCTGGCACAGGGTGCCCAGAGAAACTGTGGCTGCCCCATCCCTGGAAGTGTTCAGGGCCAGGTTGGACATGGCTCTGAGCAACCAGGTCTAGTGGAAGGTGTCCCTTCTCATGGCAGGGGGTTGGAATAAGGTGAGCTTTAAGGTCCTTTCCAACCCAAACCATTCTGGGATTCTATGATTTTTCATCTTTACATGGATTTAAAGTGGAAATTATCAATTTATGTTTATAGTTAAGGCTGGATGATGATAGAGGATTTAACTTCATTAAATATAGTCTGTGTTTCATATGCTGAATGTATGTTTTCTACATATCTAATAGTAGATTATTCTGTTTCTTCTACTGTCTGTAGTCTGTCCCATTCTTATAATAAGAAAATTGCCTTTAGTGTTATATATTTATCTTATGTTAATATCAGAAGAATCACTGATGAAACAGGTGTTTTATTGTCTAGGGAGGACTTTAAAGAGAGCTGAAAATGAGATGCCCTTACCATGAGTGGCCCAAAGCTCTGGATGTGCACATCATTGATGAGCTGCAGATGAACACAGTGTTTGCCTCAGAAGATGAATGTGAGTGTGGACTGGGGCCCTGGGAATGACATTTGTGACACAGGTGAGAAGCATTCAAATTATTCCAGAAAGACAACTAAGCAGGAAGGCCACACACTTAGCGTCCAGAAGGAGGTAGACATGAATTACTCACAGATGTTCAGTCCTCTTTGCAACTCTGCTGGACCTTCAGGTAAGCAGGAGCTTCCTGCAGAGCTGCAGTGTGAAGATAAAGAAACCTGTGAGACTTACTACCAGAAAGAAGGTGAGAGACCAGCTGGGGTGTTTGTCCCTTCCGATACCAACTTTGACCTGCAGTGTGAAGAAAAAGATTTAGAGCACAGTTCCTCTGACTGCTCCAGGAAACCACGGGGAAGACTCCACGATGGTAACGAAAATACCATTCTTGGTGACATGTTTGCAGAGGACCTGGAGCCTGTCTCCGAGGAGGCTTTGCCGTATCGGTGCAAGAAGTGTGGTTCCTCTTTCCAGGGTACGAGCGAGCTGCAGGAGCACAGGCGAACTCACCTCGTGGAAAACTCCTACCGCTGTCCCACCTGCGCCAAAGAGTTCTTCCGCGCGGCAAACCTGCGGATGCACAAGCTCATCCATTCCAGTGACAGGCCCCACAAATGCCCGGAGTGTGACAAGGGCTTCATCCGCACGGCCGACGTCTGGAGGCACCTGCGCAACGTGCACAAGATCGAGCGCTCCATGGTGATCCTGGGAAACGGCATGGCCAGGAACCCCTGGTCCGTAGTGCACCGTCACCAGCACGCTGTTGAGTACAGTGATCGGCCTCGCGCGGAAAACCAGAAGCCCGAGGAAGACGACTATAAGCCTTACACCTGCCCGACGTGCGGCAAAGGCTTCGACAAGCCCAACCTGCTCTCCAAACACAAGGTGATCCACCGGGAGGACAAGCCCTACAAGTGCCAGGAGTGCGGCATGGCGTTTGTCCAGCTGCTCAGGCTGAAGAGGCACCAGCAGACTCACTCTGGGGCGCGCCCCTTCTACTGCGAGGAGTGCGGGGGGACGTTCACCCGGCTGGCGTCGCTCCAGCGCCACCACCGCATCCACACGGGAGAGAAGCCCTACTCCTGCGGTTACTGCGGGCATTCCTTCACCGAGTCGGGGACCCTGCGGAGGCACGAGCGCACACACAAACTGGACAAACCTTAATTCCTGGCTCATTTGTGGTCGCGGTCTCCTCGGTTGCTTCTCACCTGAGCGAGGTCTGCTCTGTTGGGCTGGAGAAGGCACCCACCGCGAGCGCTCTACCCCGTCCAGACCCGCTGCCCCGGCGGGGAACGCTGCATCACAGGGATCTCTGGAACTTGTACTGGTAGAGGTTGCACTGACTGGCTTTGAACTGCTTTGTATGAACAAATTACCTAATTACCACTGAGTAATGAAATTACTGCACGTGGGGAGACTGAAATCACTCACATGTGCTCGTGCTGCCTCAATTTGCTGGACTGACCATGCATCAGCTTGAGCTTTGTGCAAGGATGCACAGGCTGTGAGACTTCTCTCCACAGCCTCAGTCACTGGATAAATTGGCCCTGGCCTCTTGAATGTGATGGCTCTCTGGCACTGGGTTTGGAGATCTGTTGTTGCAGGTATTTGCTAAGTCAAAACAGTCCAGAATTGTCCCTCTATCCCTTCTGTCCTTGTATTTTGCTGAGTTTTTCTTTCCACTGCATTTTTTCTATTTGAAGGGGGAATATCATGTTGGTTATTTAAAAAAAACAAAACCAAAAACAAAACAAAAAAACCCTACAAACCACTTCCTTAATAAATGCAACAGTTACCAGCTGTATTTCACAAGTGGTATTATGTAAGGGAGTACTGATACTTTATGCACTTTTGTGTGATGAGTTGAATGTCTGTTAATAATGGGAAAAGCTTTATTTTGGCTATGATGATGCATGCTCTTGGCATGAAGGATTGGAATGCATTTATGTCTCTAATGGAACCATGCACTCTATCCAGCTGAGTATTGTGCTAAGAAGCATTTGAGAACACAAAATTCAAAGAGCAAAAGACCAAATTTAAGCCACCTTTGCTACTCATCGCATGGGAATCTCCTTAATTTAAATGTTTTCACACATAAGGAAGCTTCCCATAACAAAACCGTGTTTTGTGTTCTGTGATGTGTCTGAGTGCTACTGAAGTGTCTGCTTGACTCTTCACTTTGATTTAGATGGTTAGTGAATAAAAGTTTCCTTACAAACTAGCCTGGCAGATTCAGGTGCTGCCAAATACTCCAAGGCTGTAACTTCCAAAGAGGTTGGTATTGCCTCAGTTATGGCAGTGGGGTTTTAACTTTGAAACTTTCTAATGACTTTTTTATCTGCTGTTAACCACTGTGGTAGAAGCATCCAGTTTGTCCTTAATTTGCAGCCTGAATTTCCTTTCCATATCAGCTTCCTTTTCGCCTGCCAGCTGCCATAATTTCACTAATTCCTTTCCAGTGCTTTCTGCCTTTTCAGTAGGAAGTTGTGCAGCAGAGTGAAGGTAAAGCTTCAGGGTAATGTACCTTTGCATTTACTACCAGGCTGTTTAATATAAAATACTAATTGTACCACTAGTTTGCTTATTCCATGGAGTAAAAAATAATGATGGCTGTTCTGCTCCTTCCACCTGTGCAAGAGCTGAGCAAGTGTCACACAGCTGTGGGTCCTGCCGTGCTTGATGTGAGGTCCTTGGCTCAGGTCAAGCTGAACCACTGTCTGCAGCAAAACTTTAACTCGATTATGAATTGGAGACTAATTCTCCTGGCATCACTGATGGGTCGTTTTTATTTAATTCCTCAAAGAAACCTCCAGATGGGGGAACTGATCTGCATCCTGCTTCTGAGGATGTGTTCTGTTGTCTGTGTACTTTTGTAATGCTGGGATGGCTGGACCCTGTGTACCATGTGCATTCACTGCAGTGGGACTGAGACTTCTCCAAACTCCCCTCCAGGCAGGAAGTTCCAGTACCATTTTAGGTTTCCAAAGGGCTTTTGCTGGGGCCCCTTAGCAACAGCTCAGTCTTATCTGAGGGCTGCTTAGCCTCTCTAAGAGGAGAGATCTTTGCATGACAAGAATCTTGACTGACTGTGGGTAAGTGATCTGCAGAGAGAGGTCAACAGTGCTGTTCTGTGGGGACTGTGATATTCAACACCTTTTCAAGTGACCTGGAGAGAGAGAGGGCAGATAGTGAGGTGACAAAGCTGTTCTAGAAGCTTTCATGCAATAAGTTTCCACGCTCATCTTCTAAACCCATTTTGAAGTTGTCATCTACAGCCTCCCCTGTTCAGCATCCTGCTTCTCCCTTGGGTATGCAATGCTCTTGCTGCAGGGGGTTTTAATATCCAATTAAACTGCACCACTATGCACATCTTTATGTTGTGTGACTGTTCTGCTTAGGCAGTTGCAGTAATTGAGAAAATCCAGTTATTCTGCTTTTCGATGTTAGCAGTTGGTGGAATTTGTACCTATAGGATAATGGTGAAAGTATTTTGAATGAAGGTCTGTTATATGGGAAGAGGAAATGGATGGTGAAATGAAAACCACTAGGCTTAACTAAAAGGTTATTAAAAAGACACTTGCCTGGAAGGTTGACTCGCATATAAAGTGCTTGGATGTGTGAAAGGAGTAATTAAAATGTGATGGCCTCTGGGACAAGTGTGTTGAACTTCTTCAAAGAAACTTCCATTAACTCCTTTGCAAGATACAGTGACCTATAAAACGTGACTGCCACCCCTGGCAGAGGAAAGGATGGAGTCAGCCAGGCATGTACCTTCATTATTCTTCCAGATTGGTCCCCAAATCCTTCCTGGAAGAGCTTGCATGCAGGAGATTGGACAGGGGAGGAGATGGGACAGGCTGAGGCAGAATGATACCAACTCTGGAGAAGCACACTACTCTGGGTTTCATCCCTCACCTGCTCACCTTGAGAGGGAAGGGGTGCTTGTCCTAAAACCACACAGAGCCCTGTTCTCCCTTCTGGAAGGTAAGTGGTAAACACAAGCCCAGGGTGTGCTCAGGTTCACTCTGCATGAGAGAAACTAAAATCCTGGGATACTCTGACTTGGGAAAACATCAGAAACATTCCCAAACTGTAGCTGTCTCCTGCAAATGAACCTGGAGTTGGGTTGGCAGAGCAGGAGAGGTGGAAGGAAGGGCCAGAGGCAGGGGTACCCTGAGGTGATGGGCTGAAGCATAAGCCAAGCATGGCTGGTGGAGATGATGGTGAGGGCAAGGATGACTTGGGGTTGTGTCTACAGGCATGAATTTCATGTGAAAAACATGCTGAGACTTGGATCCTGATTAGATTGGCATTCAGTAAATAAATATCACTTTTTTCTTTTAGCTAATGGGAAAGGTGGAAAGTGTTTTCTCACACACACTGGGGCCCTTGCTGCACTGAAGAGGTACATCTGCTATGTCCCCTCATCTTTCAGACCCACCTCTGCTCCCATGGGACACTCAGGTGTGTGGGGGGTGAATCTTTCTGTGTTCATGGAGTTGTGAAAAACAGCTGGGAGTCCCTGCAGTGTCGAGCCCTGTCTGCACAAGGATGCTCCAAGGTGGGTTGCTATCCAGAGAATCACCTTCCCTTCCCCATAGGCTCAGATGCAGCTGCTGCACCAGTGTGACTGGTGGGGAAGCAAATGATGCTGGACAGGAGGACAGCACGGGATGGGACTGCAGATCCACTGTGGAGGTGCTGGAAAGACCTTTCAAGCCAATTTCATAAACCAGAAAATGAAGCTCTGAGCCCTTCGCATGCGTCACTTGAGCAGGGAAATCTGACTTGCAAAATGTGGCTTGTCACCAAGTGAGGCTGGATAAACCAGGTACCGACCACTGAATACCTCCCTCGTCATTTGGAAAACCCTTGGGCTCTGGCATTTGGGGATGCAGCAGTAACTAGACACTAATTACCGAAAAAGGAAGACAAAAATAAAAAGCCAAAAATGCTTCTTGACCTTTTGTTCTTCGCAGCAGACAGGTGAAAACAGTATGTTCCCAGCAGTAGCTCTTAATTATTTCACCACTGCACATCCCTCTTGCACTGCAAGTTAGAAATGTCAGTTTAATTCTCTTTTAATTGCCTCAGCTATCAGATACCTGAGAGAAGCCATTTTTACCAACCGTTCTTGGGCTCAGAAAGCAGGTTATTGCTGTAGAAATACTCTGCACTTCTGCTTTGGAAAGGGGCTCTACCGAGGGGAAAGCAAGGGGTGCAATTATTTTGCCTATAATTACTGTATCCAGCATGCTCTGTGTGAAAAGGTTGTGTGTTTTGCAGTGCTTGTCTCACTGGCAGCACAGGAGGGTTTGGGCTTTTGTTTGTGTGCATTTGGGGTGCTTCAGGCTTACCATGCTCCTCACCTGCATCAGGCAGGGATGCCTCTAAAGCTCCTCCACTCCCAGGGCCATTGCTGTAGGGAACCTGGATTTTAGAGCAGGAGGGGATGACAGGCATGAGGAACAGAGCAACTGGGCAGCTGTTTCTTAATGTAGCTGGTTTTGTCTTTGGTCACATTGATTTATGCCTAGATATGATGCTCTTGATCCCTCTAATGGCTACAGTGCTTATTTGAAAGCATGGATTTTTATTTTCTGCACTCTGTTAACTATTTTCCTGCTCTTTAAAATACAGAACTACCAGGAAACAAAATGCAGAAGTTATTAATTACAGAGGCCCTGGGGCTCTGCCAGGTTTCAGATCCAGTGGCTGTTTCTCTTGATGGCTGAGGAGCTCAAATGTTCCAATGCCAGGCAAGCAGGAGCTGCTGCTTCCATTCCTGGAGGGCCCAGCAGAGATGCAGAGTCATGCAGTATAAAAAAATACGATCTTAATAAAGGTCACCTGGCCACACAGAGCATTTCTAGAGAAATAAAAATAGCAAGAGGGTGAGAATCTAAGAACAACACCTTGGAGCTGTGATGGTAAAGGTGGGAAAGCTGCCTGGCATCCCACGAGGCTGGCTCAGCAGAGCAGATGCCCTGCGAGCTGTTGGCAGAGCATGTGGGCAGGCCAGGCTGCTTCCTGCCCCTGGGCACAGACACAGCAGTGCAGGCACATTTCTACCACTTAAAGAGAATTCAAATCAGACCCTGACCTCGAGCCAGGTGCAGCCAGCACCCAGAGGGTTTGCTGTCTGTGGGACATGCAGTGCTGAGGGTGGGAGGTTTGGCCTGCGACAGTTTTATTTTCACCGGTGCTCTTTGCAGTTTTGCAGGCAGGTCAGCAGGCTCTGCCCCGCTCCTGTGCGAATGTGTAACATTGCCCGGGGAACTCAGGATGTGTGAGGAGTCTGAAGAGCAGTGTGTGCCTGCTCCCCATGCTGGAGAAGGAGGGCATCTGAGCAGTTGCTTCTCAGGAAGGCAAATCTGATTGCAAACCCCAGCGGAGAAGTGGAGAAGCCCCATTCCTCTCCCTGACAAGAGGTGCAGCAAAATCCTCTTTGGATGCTCAATTCCTCTCTGGATTTACTAGTATCCCCCCTCACCCTGATGGGTGAGCACGGGTGGGTAGCCAGCCTGGCAGGAGCAGCCCCCAGGCTCCTGTGTAGGAGAGCAGAGCATCCTGTGCAAGTGTGTGGGTGTCCGGGTCACCTTTTTGTGTCCAGCAGAGCAGCTGCAGAGCCTTTGAAGGTGGGAAATCTTTCCTCATCCCAACTTTGGTGCCTGCAT